GATCGATCAGAGAGGCAGAATGCGTTGCAAATGCTGAATCGGCCAGGTGCAACTCAGAGCTCCGTAGTCAAGTCACTTGGGATTTCAAGGGAAGATGTATACAGTGTTATATTCCACCGAATGACCTTCGGAGAATTTGTGAACGCTGGAGCATCTGAGGAAAGATGCCACCTGACAGCCAACGAAAGTGAATCAGGCAACCTTACTGCTATGAGGAAAAGCACGGGAGAGTTCCCAGTGGTGGAGAGAAACGTATGTAAGAAGATACTCCAGCTAGCACAAATATTGCATCATCGTGTCATTTCACGCTTCTAAAGGTTGGTTTCGCTCTGGGTCAGACAGATACGGTATTCAATCCTACAAATTAAGAAACAACAAACTCATGTGCATTACTTTATGGGTTTGCGGGGAAAGTTTGGCGTTAATAATTGATTCAGTGGACGAGTTCCGAGTGAGGTTACTGCAGTTGATCTATGGTTACGCTGACTGATATTTTCAAATGCAAATAAAAACAGCTCTATTACAGGCAGCTCCCAGAAAGAACACTAAATGTCGAAGGAAAGACAGTTTCTGGATCTATGAAACAACCAATGGATCAGGGCGTGATTTGGTCTTTCAAATGTTGTTCGAAAACATTTACTGGAATAAGTTTTGTCTGTCATCGAAGATGAGCAAATAAGCATGAAATCCGAAGTGAACATCCTCAAGAAAGCTTCGGTGTCTATGCATTCGCATGTACTAATCAACACTTATAAACGCTGGGTTAAAACCCACATTGAATCAGTCAATGATGCAGCCACCAGAGGATAAATGCGATCAGATTGAGGACCTCACAAACTGCGTTTAAATCTTTTGTATCAAGTCTCTTTCTTGGGTCATTAGATGAAGTCGTTTCGAACCAAGGCAATCGTCTCAAAGAAGATGAATGTGAAATTATCTCAATTAGAGAAATGCAGAAGTAACTGCATTAATTAAAGCTGTTTATCTTGGCTAATGCTAGGGTTGTGGTTAGATTACTAAAGTGTTTAATTGATTTAAACAGCGCGTTTGTTGATTTACTAAGGAGAGCCAACCTGAGACAAACGACGATTTATGAATTTTGCTAAAAGTCCATCTTTGTAATCTGCAAAGGCTTTTTCTGCAATTTTGTTGGGGACTCGAATGTGGTCATTTTTCTTCAGTGGCCACCAAAGCCACGGCCATTCGGTTTATCGATGGGCTCTGTTTCACTAACGTGCAAATGGGTGAACGATAGTCGAGAGTGACCGGTGAGCGGCTGTGTGGAGTAAGATGTCAGATTCAAGCGATCGATAAGGCCAGTCGCGCGGATGCACGTGCCAATGGATGAACGATAATCCTACAAGTCATTGGCCAAAGGTCATCCTAACCCGGGTCTAACGCGCCCCTGACTGTTGGAGCGATGCACTTCTAATTTGTGAATCACGTTATGGCATCACGTGTTGAACTTAATCCGTCACTTAGGTTTACCAACACTGACCACAGCGAATGTATCATTCGGTTTGAACATATGATCACAACAAAAGCGAATGAACGAGTAGATGTCTACGGACGCTAATGGCACACATTCTTCAGCAGAAAATCATGAATAGGTTGCACATCGAACAATCAGTTTGGAATATGGGAAAGAAGTCGATGTACTGAGTGAACCCCATGACAGATATTGCACTTATTTTAGATGACGGAGTTTCCTTCGAATGCGACTTTTCGTCCCGCGTTCTCACTGTGTTCTAGTTGGCTCATTCTGGTTTTCATCGAACGTTGTGATTATTATAGCTAACACGGTTGCATATTATGTTGGACGCCATATGCTCAATTCTGTGGTTAAACTAACATTGCATGGGAATGAAGGAATATCTGGAATTAATATACTTGGGTCTAAAAAATTCCCTTGAAGAAAAGTAGACAGTTTCGGGATATCCAGACACTTAAAAGTGAAAAAGAGCTAAATACCGGATGCAATGTACTGCTTTTAGGTGGGATGCATTATAAAAGATTTAAATTTCTTCCATACACAAAGGATACGCAGGACGGTATGTCTAAATTCTGTTATAGATAAAAGGTAGATAATGAAAGCCGTTGGAAACAAGTAAACGGGATTAACGTGTTTTTCATTGATTCGTTTGATTTTGTCACAAAACTACCAACTGATTTTTAATACTACTCAATAGTTTCCACTGCTGACAAACATGTTATGTCGCCGTTCCCGGAATCTACCCAATTTCGAGTTCCCGAGGGGTGCGACACATGTAAGAGACTGACTATATATATTCCGCTGGCGAACAAGCATGATGCCAATGCAACAACAGAATGTGAGGGAACAAAAAAATACAAAGATAAAAAAACCAGACCGTATTAAGATAGCAACAACAATAACAATGCTTTTTGTTTGTTTTACCGCACACTTTTTGAGATTTATTTTACATGTGATAGTTTATCGTGTTTTATGGAACACGGGATTTCAACCAGCAGACCATACAGCATTCGCGCCATTGACTTCCACTCTGAGCCATAACTCTCAGCGTCTCTAACCAACGACAATCCTCAACCCTTGAGTCGCAACCGGGAAGGCAGGGCTGCAAAAAACGGAAGCGTCACAATGCGTACGTTGGTGATCGCCGAAGCCATCTGTGGTAAGCATTTGACTCCCCAACTATGTGCCTAGAAAGGCCTTATCCAAGCTATCCAACAACCCTGGGTTTGCGAACCGACTCCTCTCCCATGCTCGCACATACAAACAATTTCACACCACAACACCTATCCCTCACACAGCCGTCGTGACAATTGAAAACCCCGGGATACGTAGATCTGAGAATGCGGTGTGCAGTACACACAATCACAAACATGCATACACGAAGTGAACGATTCCTCACATTTTATTGTTCTACTCCCAACCCCTTGGANTGGATTTTTTCCCTCATATAAAGTGGAACGGCAAGATTATGATTGTGTTCTAAATGCGACTATGGGTATATTTCGAAATACGCGAAGATAGATGAGGAAACCTCTCCGTAGGAGACAGTTAAACAACCATCATGCTGAGTTAAAAGCGGTTCGTAAAACACTGAGGACGGTGCTCCACAGGCCAGGGGATGAGTGTTCCCATCAAGCACACCATCCGAAAATTGTCGGTTTTCCAAAATGGCAACATAGGCTAGTTCGGTCACATCCGTGATTTACGTGATCGCGATAAATGAATGAAACAAAAACATCAAAGCAACCGTTGTGTGTGTGCACGTTTCAATACGACCTTACTTGGAATAGATTGCTCAGACACGGGCTCGGTCGGGGCTAGTTCAGACGGAGTAGACCATTCAAAAAATAGACCAAACGCGATATCGTAGTCATCTGTAGCGAATTCCCACACAATACTCGTCCCCGAAGGATAAGCCGGCACACGAACCTGATTGGAAGATAGAAATAAAGCGAGAGGTTAGTGATGGCGCGGGACAATACATACAGAATTGAAGGCGGATGATTAAGGCAAAACAATATCGCACTTTCGAAAAAACCGTATAGGTGCAAGATCCAGGTCACCTGTAGGAGTGGAAACCATGCTAATTAGAATGAAGGTGATGCTCTAACCCATTTTCTCTTTCCTAGGCATATTACTGATCTCCCTGCTGATGCTTCCGTTTTCCTTTTCAGATGACCAAGTAACCTTGTTTTGTGTCAAACGGTTTTAACTGAATCCCAACTTGGGGATGCCTCTACGAGGTTCACGCATTTTCCATTTTGCCCCTAGACATGTACGGTAAACGTGTCTATATATATTATCATCACATACGTCTGAGTCCAAACTCTGTACCAAAAAAATCGCAGTACAGTAACTTTCATAAAAAGGAAGTGTCATGACGGGCTGACGGGCGCGACAATGTCAACTGTAAGCAGGTGAATTTTCTTGGGGAATACCTCACCAGAACCATCGATTTACCAAAGCAATAACCGCCAGGTAGACAGCAGGGCGGTTTGCAGAAAACCGCATTCCACTGGGGCCAAGCGTCCAATTCATCGCGGTATGCATCCTTTGGATAAAGTCAAATGTTCAGGGTGTCCAACTGAACCGATGACCATTGCCACAGCTAAAAAGGCATAAGTGTGGTTCGTATTCTTCTTCTTGGAATCAGGGTTTTGGTCAACTTACTTAGGTGAACTGCCGGTGACTGACTGACCAGTTATACCTTCGGATGTTGGCTTTTCGTCCTCTCATTTTGGTGGGAAATTATCTCCACGACGGTAAAGCAGTGGACAGACGTTAACTTCAGCGGTCCCCATAGAAAAAAAACTTATGGTCAAATTGCTCCGTCTTCTTCCAGATTAGGGAAAATCTAACAATTTCGTGTTCGACAGTCTGCCATTTTCATTCCTGTTCGGCACTGGGCTATTCTGTTAGTTATGGTTTATTCTTCATGAGAGACGCAAAAGGAACTTCTCGGCTTATTATCGAGGTCTTTTTTTATAACAAGACGCACCTACGGCATTTCCTTTAAGCAACTACTTGAAAAGTTATGCGTATAACCAATGGAATTGTTCAGTTCAGTTATTACAACCATTAACCATGCACTTTCGTGCGCTGAATTTGGTTGCCCATTTGGATTAAACAGCGTAATGATGATTACAATGTTGAGAGCAGATTCAAACAGAAGACAGCGAATTTATAAGGA